TATTGGCGAGTTACACTGTTAGAAAAATTTCAACTTGGTTATTAAACTTTGTTTTCATTCCAATCAAGTCCTATATATTTAAAAGATGTATATTGTACGTAACTAAGAAATATGATTTAAAACCTTAAAAAGAACCTTGATTATATAGTTTAGAACATCAGGATGCTAGTGGACTCGACACGTGTCATGCACCAATGGTAGATACCAACTAAGTGTCGGACCCACCACCAAGGTAATTTTGACCAGCTTCCACTGTGACATATTTTAATAAAATTTTTGACAAAGTTTCCTTGTAAATATGGACTAAAAAAAGCCTGAACAATAATCAATTACCTCAACCATGTACGTATAATTTAAAATGGGATACACCGGTCCCCAGAACACAAACTATTCAAAGTAGAATACCGACAAATCAACCTTTACTATTATTTGCAAACAAAGGAACCCAAATGTACTAAAGATACCACATATGCAGCGAGCCTGTGATATGTATACATAAATTACAATTTAACTTTTCTAACAAAAATGCATGTATCCCAAAAGCAAGGAAGAAGGACTTAGGATAATCGCATCTTCCTTTTTCAAGGAATGAGATCTTATATTATCGCCTCTTCCTTTTTCAAGGAATAAGGATTTAGGATAACCGCATCTTCCTTTTTCAAGGAACAATGTCTTATATTATCTCCTCTTCCTTATTCAAGGAACAATGCCTTATATTATTGCCTCTTCCTTTTTCCAGGAATGAGGACTTCAACCAAAGATAAGCATCTGGTGGGGCGGGAAATAAACATTCTGCGAATAGCTCTCGAACTATCGAAGTCTTATAGACTGGCATCAAAATTGCGAGGTCTTACAGTTAAGCTCAACGATAGTAAGAGGCGAGGAATAAACATCCCGTGAAGCCAATAATAAGCATCTGGCGAGGAGGGAAATAAACATCCCGCGAATAGCTCTCGAACTATCGGAGTCTTAAAAACTGGCCTCGAAATGAAGATGTCTTACAGTTAGGCTCAACGATAGTGAGATGCGAGGAATAAACATCTCGCGAAACCAGGAATAAGCATCTAGAGAAGCGGGGAATAAACATCCTGCGAATAGATCTCGAACTCTCGGAGTCTTATAAACTGGCATTGAAATGAAGAGGTCTTACAGTTAGACTCGACGATAGTGAGAGGTGAGGAATAAACATTTCGCGAAACCAGGAATAAGCATATGGCGAAGCGGGGAATAAACATCCCGCGAATAGATCTCGAACTATCGGAGTTTTATAAACTGGTCTCGGAATGAAAAGGTCTTACAGTTAGTGTAATGCCCCCGAAAATTTTCATAGAATATAATTTAAATTTTTGTGTGCTATATCTTGATATTTTGAAAGTTATGTAGTAAATTGAGATATAGCAATTCCAATTTTATTTGGGTCATATATTTAGATTTTTGACCGAGTATGATAAGTGTATGAATATTAAGCTCGTTGGAT